TAATATCAGTAATATTTTCCAAGCCATAAATTTGGGATGTGACTTGATCCCGGAAATAATATTAGGCGGTAATGGATCTTTTTCGTACAACGTTTTTGTTACAAATATTGTCTGAGCAAAATGAATAAACATTTTTTCGTGTTTCCTTTCCTTCCTCTTTGCCTACGCAATTATGATGATTAAGTTCGAGGCTCACTGAGTTAGAAATAAGTTTTCTATTATTGCTTTATTATATTGATTCGTAACTCACACTCGCTCTGCTCGGGTACGTTTTTTTTATAATTCTAGCTGAGTCGAATCTGTATATTAAATATTTTTTGGAACCAATTTTTTTTAGAAAGAATCTTATTGAAATAGAAGAAAATCATTATTATCGATACAGAGGCCGAATCTATAGTTTTTAGAATTTTTCTCTGTCTGTCTGTCTGTGACCACATCACGGTAAAATCACTGGAGGGATTTTGCTGAAATTTGGTATGATGATTGCTGGTTATCCGGGTAGACATATAGGATATTTTTTATTGCGGGAAAATATCTTATCTCTGAGAAATCTATACTAAACGTTGAAACGTAAATAGGGACGAACCCGAGCGGTGCGAGAGTGAGTCACTAGTATGTATATATTTCTATCCGTCAGCAATCGTAGAAACTAAGTTCTTAGTGTATCACAATCTTAACAAAGGATAAACAAAATGGTTGCCCCTTTTTCCATGAGAAATATAACGTACATATATAATTAAGTAACCCTATTTGCCACCATTTTACTATTGTTTAGGGATTTACAGACAAATATATTCTAATAATATGGCGTGAATTGGAATACTTTATATTATACTAGCGTTTTATCGCAATCCCGCACGCGTAGTTCAACTATGTAATGCTATATTTTTGATAATTATAGTCTATATGTTACTCTGATGTATAAGCTATATTACTGTAAAGTTTCATCAAAATCCTTTCAGTAGTTTTTGCGTGAAAGAGTAACTTCTTATTGTACCTATAGGTAGTAGTGGGTTCGAGTTTGTTGATGAACTTTGTTTCGGAAATTGATAATGACAGTATTAGGATTTCCTCTTTTAGGTTTTCTTTAAATAAGTTAGAAATCTCGTGTCTTTTAAGAAAATATAACTAGGGTATATACACATATATCTGATTCTAAAAATTATGACATTTTGCTCTAGTTCCACGTATAACTATAAAGGGTTTATTCATTTATCATCCCCTAAACAAATATGGGGATGAAGCATTGTATGAAAGTACAGTTTTTAACCCCTGACGCTAAAAGAGAGGATTTATAAGTTTAACGTATGTATGTCTGTGGCATCATAGCGCCCAAACGGATGAACAGATTTTTATTTTTTTTTATTTTATAGTTATACTTCTATTGGCACGCTTAGAAAAAAATATGAGTGTAAAATTTTTACGATTCGCCGCGCACACCGACAGCCAAAAAACGACATGATGAAGTTAGCTGCATTCTTTTAACAAACAGAGAGTTGTGACATACGGGATGAAATCTTGAGCTATTTTTGTTCTGTTACGCCAAAGAAGTATAATTTCTTACGTGCGTACATAAGTACACACACACTTTTTTTTAAGTTTAGAGATATGAAAATTGATGCTTACCTTCTGTTCGGATTGTCGATGAGAACAAATTGAATACCATGTGCGCGGAGCTTGTACAAATAGTGATTGAAGCTTATACTATTACTAGCATTGCCCGCGGCTCCGCCCGCGTTCTGATGACCAAAAACCAAATTGTTAGGTTTTACATATTAGTATACTCTTTCATTGCAGTTTTTGTATTTTTTCTCAGAAATGAGATATTTTCCCGGGATAAAAAGTAAACTATATGTTGACCCGGATAACCAGCTACCATCATACCAAATTTTATCAAAGTCCCTCCAGTGGTTTTTCTGTGATGCGGTAACAGACAGACAGACGGACGGACGGACGGACGGACGGACGGACAGACAGACAGACAAAAATTCTAAAAACTATAGATTCGGCCTCTGTATCGATAATAATGTCTATTTCAATAAGATTTTCCAAAAAATATTTAATGTACAGATTTGACTTAGTTAGAATTTTATTATATGTATAGATAAATACCTGTCATATAATACCATCGCAGCCTCTGTGTTCATATCCCATATTACGAGCATGCAACAGGATGCAATTAAAATAAAAGTAACTATGTAGACCATTAGATATAACTAGATATTTAATTGATGTATGTTTGTTCCTCATTCGCTGATTTGAATGAAACTAACATGGATAAATAACAATCTTTTTTTTCTAACGTTGGGAAATTCATTTAGGCACGAAGTGTGGGACTCATCGGCAAAGCCAGTACTACCCACTAAAACCCAACAAAACCTTCCCCCGTCTTAATGGGGCGTCGCAGGATCGCTTACGCATTCAACTACGACGCCCCGACGGCAGGTCTGCTGAAGCAGACCACAACAACCATGGGGTTGCTCCAAGGTCCACTCTGCTGTCAGAGAAGTACCAGGAGCAACCCGCATAGCACACCGCCCACCGAAATGGGCCACCACCCAGTGCGTTTCTTGGTTTCGCGCCCGGCTGAATTGTCGGGTACTACTACTACTACTACTAAGTTCAGTCCAGCCGTTTCGGAGATTAGCCGGAACAAACAGTCAGACCAAATTTAAAAAATGAGTTTTTAAAAAGTACCTACCTTATACAATTTCATATGCATTTAGTAAACAGCTGTTATTTACATTACAAACACACTAAAAAATAGCTTTTAGAGTTTATTGACATTATTTGACAGTTCCATAAGTCTGAATCGAAAAAAACAAACAAACATACAAACATTGTTAAATATAATAAAACTTAAATATAGTGAAAATAAAGAACCATTTAAAGTCAAAAACAATTTAACAAAGGATCGTACAAACACTAAGCAATAAAAACGGATATTAAAACCCAACAGCGTCACATTTATCACAAGTGTTGCCACTAGATTGATATAAGATATGGACCGCAGCCACCCTATTATTTACAATCTCTTACAATGTTTTTTCTACTTGCACTAGTGACTTGAATAGCTCACTAGATATACAAAGCTTAACTATAATGATTGACCGATTTCGATAAAATTTATATGGGACCACCTAGGAAGTATACACATTGAAACAAAAAAAATAATTTTACAAATCGGTTCAGGCGCCTTCGAGTAATCGGTGAACATACATAAAAAAAAGATTCCGACGAATTGAGAACCTCGTCCTTTTTTTGGGAAGGCGGTGAAAAAGCAATGAGCAAGTGATTTGAAAAAGGCGCACAATTTCGAATTGTGCACTTTTTTGAGGACACTTTTGAGATTTAACTTTATTTTGAATATCTTGAGTTTTGGTATATCAATGACTAGCAGTTGTAATTGTTTCGGGTTTAAATTGACTGTCATATAGTGCCTAGAATATATATATAAATAGGCAAAGACAAACAGTTCAGTATCTAGCCTTTTTCTCGTGTCTTTGTCAATCGATTTTCTTTTGTTTTGTAGCTTTAGTATTATCAATAAAAAAAAATTTCAAATACTTTTTTTTATATAGATAGATAGGTAAGGGGCATCCATTAATTATGTGAGATAATTTTGGCGATTTTTCGACCCCCCCTCGCCCCTTGGTAAGATTTCGTGAGATTTTGCTGGACCCCCTCCCCCCTCCCCTAATCTCACGTGAGATTTTTTAAAATGCGGAAAAAATAAATTTAATAACAAAACAATGGTCGTAATAAGTTTTTTTTTCAGTGAATATTATTAGTGCATCGTATGTTACTATGTTTATTACAAAAGGTTGTGGCATTATTTTTTTATGAACGATCTTCTCATCGCACCGTATATGAAAAAGAAATATTCACTCCAAAGTAATTGATTTACAATTAATAAATATTTATTAATAGTTAACGAATATTTTGTTCATATTTAATAAATTCTTCTGTCAGTGCATATAAACCGCAATGAATTAAAAATTATTATATAAAAAATTATTATATATGATTTAGCCATGTTTTACTAAAGAAACATTTTTTATTTAAATTAATCCAGTTTCTCGCAATTTTACACTGTTTCATGCAGAAAAAAAATATGTAATATTTGCCGAGACCACCCCCTCCCCCACGTGAGACTGAGTGAGGTTTTGCTTGACACCCCCCTCCCCCTACCCCCTCCTAAAAGCCTCACGTAATTAATGGATGCCTCCTAAATTCTATTCATATATGTTTTCCTCAAATTTTCAATAATGGTTATGGTCGAATTTCCGGCACCGGCCGAGCACTAGTTAATGTTAATAAGAAAATGTTATATTTATCTGTATGTTTGTTACTCGCTGCAACGGTTGGACAGATTTTGGTGAAATTTGGTATGATCATAGCTGGTTATCCGGGTCAACGTATAGGGTACTTTTTACTGTGGGAAAATATCTCATCTCTGAGGAAACTATACTATACGTTAAAACGTACCTACGGATGAACCCAAGCGCGGCGGCCGAGTAGCTAGTAACACTATAAAATAACCCTTTCGAAAATTGATTGTATTGTACTGATTGTATATCATGATAATTATCAATGATAATATTATCGTCTCGAAACCTGTTTAGTAGTAATATTGAATTTTTTTTGTATTAAGCCTGTAAGTTTTTTTTACCCAACTGCGGCGAAGCGAACCAAACGAGGGTTATGTGTGTCAAACACATATGTATGTATATGTATGTCTGATTCTATGTTCCTTCGTAATTACTAAACTGCTTAACTAATTTTGATGATTCATGAGATGATTGAGTCATAGGCTATATAAATATTATTAAAAATCAAAATGGCGGATCCTACGTGCCAATCGGTGATCATTTGGTTGATGCTGGTAAGCATTGCTGGATTTGCCACTGGGCTACCACTGTCTAATAATTATAAATAATATATAATATCTATACCATTATTACCAGATGCGGTGCCGGTGGTAGTTGGTGGTGGCAGGGATGCAGGGAGGTGGTGCGCCTGCGACGGACGCCGACCAGGCACAGTTTGAGGCGGACAAACGGGCTGTTTATAAGTGAGTTACTACCTTTTACCCCACTACGGCGAAGCCCAAAGGAGGGTTTTGTAATAATAATAATAATAATAATAAAAGTTTATTAGCAATAAGTTTTGACATTAAATTTACACTAAGCGCAAAATAAAGCTTATTACAAATTATGCTACTTACATCGGTTTGTCACTGCCGACTGTACTAGGCCGAGCCTGTATTACAGACGACAGTTCCTTCCTCTATGATACAAAAGGATTGTCACTAAATTATCATTAAACATTATCACTCATATTTTTAACAAAAAGCCACACAATAATTAAATGACATTACAAGGTCAGTTATACTTTAAACATTGATATTCTACATTATTAATATTTTTTACAAGTACCGCCATAAAAGTTAAATATAGCAGTAGTTAAAGTTAGACCACTAAAAATAATGACTTAAGCCAAATTTTTAATATAGTAGTTTATATATTTTTTTATTTAAGTACCTAGTTTTAAACAATATGATTTTATGTAATAAATTTTTATGCTTTAATTATTTAGGTATTCATGGGTAATTCATATTATTAAATTGGTTAATTAACATTTAACATATTAACATGATAAGTCATTTGTGTGGTGTGTGTTGAATGTTTAAGATGTGAAAATATGTCTGAAATATGTTTTTTTATATATGTATAATATTATGTATAATTATATATTTTTTTATGTGTGTACTGTGTTGTGTGATAGATACGGGTGTGTAAGTTAATTTATAAGCTTATGAGTCATTTATCATTTATTTAACTATAGCAAATAATTTTTCTGTGTCATCATAAGTTAGGTTTTTTAACCACTTTACTATGATATTTTTACATTGGTAAGTGTTAAGCGGGAATATATTAAGAATTTTATTCAATGTATTATAAAGAGTGGGACCTAACTAACAGTAGTAATTATGGATGAAAAATGTTCTGTAGCGGTTTATTTTACATACTTTATGCTTCAATCTATTTATTGTGAGACTATGGTCATATTCAAGTTTCCGATGTTGATCTATTATTGTATTCCTTATGAATAGCTGCCTGACAGAAAGGACATCGCATTCAGAATATAAATCTGTTGTTGGGTAACTAAATGGTTTAGATGTCATGACTTTTAATATCGCTCGTTGAGCTCTTTCTAGTTTTAACAGATATGTTTTACAAGCTCCACCCCACGATGTGATACAGTATGTTATTACTGACTCAACCAAAGCGCTGTAAACCGTTTTTAGAGTACTAGTATCAGCCACGTAGCGTAGTTTTTTGAATACGAAAATTAACTTTCTTGTTTTTTCAGTTACGTCTTTTATATGTGCATTCCAAGTAAGATTTTCATCTAACAAAACACCGAGATAACGTATAGTTTTAGTTCTATTTAGTGTATTACATTGACAAGAATTCCCATTCCGACAAGAGTGCATTTGAATTTCGAAATTTTGTTCAATAGGTAGTGTCCGCTGAGTGATCGCAAATGGCATATATTTAGTTTTAGAAATATTAAGTGTAAGCATGTTTTGATTGAGCCAATTTCTAATATGCCGAATTCCAAGTTCGGTATTTGTTTTGGCCTCAACCCAAGTTTTTCCATGAAATATTATTGAAGTGTCGTCTGCAAAGGTAAATATTCTACCATTTGTTATTTTTAATTCACAAAGATCATTTATATAGATTAAAAACAACGTGGGACCAAGTACACTCCCTTGTGGAACACCGAATATGACAGGAGCGTCACCACTAAATTTCCCGTCAATTGTCACTTTCTGTGTTCTGTTCAACAAATAACTTTTAAATAAGTCCAGTATTTTTCCTCTAATGCCAATATTTTCCATTTTGTTTAGTAATATCGGGACAGATACTGTGTCAAAAGCTTTTGCCAAATCTAAAAATACGCCTATACACCTTTCTTGTTGATCTAGAAGGTTTGCAACGTAGTTAGTAAGGTCAGAGACGACTTGAGAGGAAGATAGACCTGCTCTAAAGCCGTATTGGTTTTTCGATATAATCGATTTTTTATTTAAATATGCTACAAGCCTTTTATTTAGTATTTTCTCAAAGATTTTTGATAATGCCGGTAATACAGAAATAGGTCGATAGTTATTGACACAGTCTCTGGTCCCCCCCTTATATATGGGATGGATAATGGATTGTTTAAATGCTTGAGGGAAAATGCCAGTTTGGATTGAAAGATTTATGATTTGTGTGATATGTGGGATTACAGTATTGCTTGCCATTTTAAGAAATCTTGTAGAAATGCCATCACATCCAACTGCACTATCTGTTTTTAAATTGAATAGGATAGATTTAACCTCTTGTTCTGTCGTATAATAAATTGCCATTGAGTCTGTTTGAACGTGTGTATTCTGTGTAAAATCGGTATTTGATGTAGTTGTATTTGAAATGCCCTCTGCAAGATCTTTAGCAATAGAAACAAAGTAGTTATTTACTTTTTCTAAAGATTCTTCTGGGGTGATCCCGATTTTTAACAACTGTGTTGGAGTTGTTTTAGGCTTAGATCGATCACTAATTTTATCAATTATTTTCCATTTTAGTCTAGGATTATTGGCGTACTTTGTTAACTCATTCCTGTCATGAATACGCTTCAAACGTTTCAGTAAATCATTGCAGAAATTTTTATAACGTTTATATGTAATAATCAATATTTCATTATTAGGATCCCGTTTGCATTTTAAATGCATTCGGTCTCGATTTTTTATACATCGAAGAAGCCCTGGAGTAATCCATGGTTTTATACAACGCATTTTTTTAGGTGTTATATAACTAAGTGTATTTTTGAGTATTAAATTTTGAAATAATCTAATTAGGTTTTCAGTATAATTATTAACATCTGTTGATATTATGTTGTCAAAATTCATTAATTTAAGTTCATCGAGAATAGCTTTATAATGAATTTTCTGTGAATTTGTGTTTTTCGTTATAATACTATTATGTTTCAATTTAATGCATGTTAGAACAGGGTAATGATCGGTAAGACTTGTTTCTATGACGATAGTGAGTGAAGGATGCTTGGCTTTGATCATTGAATGATCTAAACAAGTTCTATCTCTAGTTGGATAAACATGACCAGGTAGGAGCCCATGTGTTGCTAATAAATTTAGATATTGATCTGAATTTTTATCTAAGTTGTTTTGAGTAATATCTATGTTCAAATCTCCAACTAATACAATGTTATTGTAATTTGACAAATCAGATAGTAGGACATCTAGAGATCTCAAAATATTATCAATATTTCGTTCAGAGGGAGATCTATAGATGCCAAGTGCAACGGTATCAGTGCTTACTCTAATAAGTAAACATGAGGCATCCGTCAGTATTTTTTCTTCAACGATATAGCCAGAGCTTTGTTTTATGTATGCTATTACTCCATCATTTTGATTTTGATTATTTGTAGTACAGTAAGAGTCATAACTTAACAAGATAGGTGCATTAAGAATTTTTGAGTTCCATGTTTCAGTTAGAATAATAATTTCACACGATATATCCAACCTAGCTAACATGACTTGTAGCTGGGCGAAATTTCTATTTATACTTCTAATATTTTGTGTCAATATTTTCAGGTTTAGTGTGTAAAGTTGAGTTTGTACAACTGTTTTGCATTTATCTAAATCATTCATGAATGATTTACCAGGCTCAATATTATCTAGGTTTGAAATTAAGTTAATATGATTAAGTGAATCGAATTTTGAATATTGTAGTAGTGACATAATTATATATATAATTTGTAATATTGGATGATGCGTAGTGCTCTGTGTAACATATTTTAGGGTTGTAATGTGCGCAGTGATTTACAGTTAAGAAGTGGTTAGTAATTAATTTATAAACATTAAAAATAAACAAACAATTGTTAGAACAGTGATAGCTAAAACTTAATTGATGGAAATGAAAAAAATACATATAAGAAAAAATGATAGATTTATCCAAATAGTACAAATGTATACATAGTCATTTTTGACTTTTGAGCGAAGCTAATTGTGTCTCGTCCCTCACCTCGATATGTGCTGCGTCAGGTGATTTACGTAAATAAACTTTACCGTTGCTCGTCCAGCAAAACTTATATTCATTAGTACGTACTAGATCTCTAGCAAGAAAGAATAACCTGCGTGCTTTGGGGGTAAGTGCTTCGGAAACGTAAATTGGACACTGGTTTCCCTTTATTCCTATAACGGCTGAATTGAGTTTTTGTTCAGGATGCTGTTTGTTGTAAGTTTTAACTCCTTGAATAATTTCTGATTTAGTTATGACTGAAGTAATGTCTGCAATAATAGTGCCCTTACCAGACTTTGTAGTGATTCTGTATACGTCTCTGATCTCTTTTTGTGACACATTTACATTTAGGGTTTTACAAGTATTTTGTACGATCTGACATAGATCTCCCTTACTTTCACGTTGTGTTGGCAGTGGGACGTTTCGTATTTCAATACTGGATGCTTTTAAGCTTCTTTCCATGTCTTCTACCCGTGATACTAGTGAAGCTATTTGCAGTAGATGCTGTTTGCGTTCTTTTTCCAAACTTTCTATTTTTTTCATCATGTCTTCATACTGATTATTGAGAAATTCAATGCCCTTTTCTATGTCTTCGTTTGACTTCTTTATTTGATTATTTTGCGCTTTTATTGTGGCAACTTCTTCTACTAACTTTTCCAACAAAGAATTTTGAGAATTTTTCCAGTCACTTATTAGTTGAGTAATCTCTTCTTTAAATGATAAAAATTTTTCTTCGCTACACTCTCGTTGCCTTTTGTTGCGTTGGGATACAAATGTTGGCGTTACAGCATCAAGTGGAATCTTGGCTACATCTGAATCCGATGAGGTATGTTGAAGCACAGGTGGTGATCTAGTTACTTTAGGCATTTTTAGTTTAAGTTCACAGTTTATGCGGTCGACTTAAGTTTACTTCTCACAACTACTGCTCGCCTGGTACTTGTTTAAATTTATTTAATTTAATTAAAATGTAATAAATAAGAATGGCAAGACGTCTGTACACTGTCGCGAATCAGGAAGGAAAAGTGTGTGTTTGCGTTTGACCAGTATGTATGTATGTCCGATCCGGGGTAATTACTAAGCGGATTAACCGATTTTAATTACTCATACGTTAGATACGTATTTATAACGCAATATCGTAGCATAGGCATATCAATGGATATCATTAAAATTCAAAATGGCGAATCTTAGGCACCAATGTGTGTGGCTTGAACAATTTTTCTCTCCCAATTCTATCGAGTGTGAGTTCTCAGAAAGGACGATTTTTTTCCGAGGCCTCGATAGTTTATCTATACTTAAATTATAAAAAGGCATAGTTTGTTTGTTTGAACGCGCTAACCTCAGGAACTACAAATTTGATTTGAAAAATTCTTTTTGCATTAGATAGCCCGTTTGTTGAGGAAGGCTATACGCCATATATCATATAATATATAGTCTATACTCTATACCACACTGACTGTTAAAACGTATCAGGGACGAAACCGACCGAAGCGAGAGTGAGTTGCTAGTAAGATTATATATATATATATATATATATATATATATATATATATATATATATATATATAACCTTTGGTTTAGCTTACTTAAATAAAAATTTAATGAAAAAATAATTAAATCTAGGTACATTTGGACGCTTAGTATGGAATAGTTTTTTTTTTTCGTGAATTTTACAGATGTTTAATAGTTATTCTGCTATTCGAGGTGAAGACAAATCAAACAAAACAAAGATCATAAAAATCGGTCCAGCAGTTCTCGAATTAGAAGTGTTGCAAAAAGTCCGACTTTGTTTTATATATATACCTTTATCTAGATAAAGGAGCGCCGATACTAAAGCTATTGATACCAGATTTAGTTTTTTTTACATTAATTTAATAACAATCTACATCATGTGTATTTGATTAAACAAACAAAAATTTCTCGTTGCTATTTTACGATACTTTGAAGCATAATTTAACTTGAAAATTTTTATTGGATCAACAGCTGTAAAATTAACATTATTAATTGTCCTTTTTCGTCTGGTTCCAAAAAAAATTTCGTGCTTTTTCCTTAATCTGAAGATCTTTTAAGATTTTAATTGCAGCCATTATTTTAAAGTATCAAATTATAATTTCCAGACACCCTCTATTCCCCCTCCTGGCTTTACTTCTTGAGAGATGTGAGCAAGCCACTGCAGGGGCAGAGCCCCCGGCTGCAGACGCCTTCGGTGCGGACCTTCAGGCCTTCGTGCAGCATCAGCGCCGGGACCGAAGGCCCTTCCTTGTTGATGACCCTGAGATTGATGGACTGATGATTAAAAGCATCCAGGTGAGGACATATATTGTGGTTGTGTCTAGAAAATTAGTCTATATTTATACAAACCAAACCTTCTGAGATAATTTTGTAAACTTTTGAATTTCGTATTTTTTTATATTTTATTTATACCTACCATCAGTTTATGGTTACTAACTCCGAGACTTCCCTTAATACTTTCGTAATTTTAAATGTATGATAGACCGTCACTATATTTGTTGTCATTTGGTCATTATTAGTGCCATAAACTGCCGCGATGGTCCAGTGGCTAGCATGTACGGCTATAAATCCGGAGGTCCTGGGTCTCAGTCCTGGGTCCGGCTAAGTTTAAATTCTCAGTAACAGCACGGAGTTGGGAAGTTGGCGGTGTCACCCCCGTGCCTCGAAGAGTGCGTAAAGCTTTAAACTCTTACCGGTCGTGTCGAAATATCGTTCCACCGGACTTTGAGAGGTTATGTGTATTATATCTCCTGCTGTTAGCTAGTCTCAGTGTGTTTGGCCGCCGTTTCCGAAATCGTCCTGGAGGGCATTGTAAGTGTCATTTACAATAACACTATCACATTCCAGGTCCTCAGGATTCATCTCCTGGAGCTAGAGAAGGTTCAAGAGTTGTGCCGCGACTTTTGTGGGAGGTACATCGCTTGTTTGAAAACTAAGATGCAGAGCGAGAATCTGTTACGGACGGATTATACTGGGGGTAAAATCTTATTTCTATTTAAGGCGTAAATTTTTAAGAAGTCATTTTACTTTAATAATAAATATGCAAGTGTGCTTTGGTTCCGAGGCCGAATCTATAGTTTTTAGAATTTTTGTCTGTCTGTCTGTCTGTTACCGCATCACAGAAAAACCACTGGAGGGATTTTGATGACATTTGGTATGATGATAGCTGGTTATCCGGGTCAACATATAGGATACTTTTTACTGCGGGAAAATATCTCATCTCTGAGAAATCTATACTAAACGTTAAAACGCAACTAGGGACGAACCCGAGCGGAACGAGGGTGAGTCGCTAGTTACCTAGTATATATAATAAAATAATGATACAATAATTCATTTCATTTTTATGTTTGTGTGTTAAAAAACAGTTTTATTTCCAGGTGGTGTAGAAAGTAATAATAATTTATCTGGAACTATGGATGACCATTCGAGTACTTCTAATTCTCCTCAGTATCAGGTAAATTGAAATAATAATAAAATATAATTGTCATATATGTATAATAAAATTCAATCAATTGAAATATTATGTTATCTTTAATAAAAAATTATCCAATTAATTGGTTAACTTTGATAAACGAATTGATTGGTCATTGATTATTTAATTTTAATAAATAATACCTATGACTAATTATAATTTAAAAAAAATTCAAATACAAACCAACCTAGCAACATAAACAAAATGTAATTAATTTGTTTAATTAAAAAAAATCTTAAGATGTAATAGGTGGTAGTAGATGTAATAGGTGTAGTACCTACTTCTGTGGCGTAACAGAACAAAAACAGCTAAAGATTTCATCCCGTATGTCACAACTCTCTGTTTGTGAAAGGAATGCAGCTAACTTCATCATGTCGCTTTTTGGCTGTCGGTGTGCGCGCGCATAGTAGAAATTTTACTCTCAAAATTTTTTCCCAACGTGCCGAAGGAGTATAACTTTAAAAATACTTTTTGCGCATAAAAAAATAAAAAAATAATACTTAATTTAAAAAAAAATTAACCTCTACCCCCTTCAGTCCCCAGTGGCGCCGCTCCCCGCGCCCGCGTACCCCCCCATCTACCCCGCCGTCACCGAGCTGCCCTACGCGCCGGCGAGAGAGCAACGTGAGTAGCTAACAAACAAACACACAGTAATACTGAATAGATTTACACGAATTTTTTTTTGAGCGGAACCCTAATTCTTCTTCTAAAATAAAAGTAGCCTATGTTACTCCCTATAACATCAGTTATCTTCCAGTGAAAGTCCCGTCCAAATCAGTCCAGCCGTTTTAGAGATTATCCGGAATAAATATTTAGTAAAAAGTTTCTATTTCGACATTACAAACGAACACTTTAATTTGTGGACCAAAAACTTCAAAAAGTCGTCATGTACATTGTAAATACATAGCCTTTAAGAACTTTATAGTAATCGAATGATCGACTGCGACTTTTTCTTTAGTATATTTGTCACGTAATATCTCGTCAACTCTGAACCGATTTTAATGGTTCTTGTAATAAATACAAAAATCAAAAAATATTCACCACCAATATAAGGATGGAGAAAAAAAAACAATTTAAAGCAATTCTGTAAAAATTCTTGTATGTATTCAGCCCTTTTTAACTTAACACTGTTGGGCACGGGCTTCCCTTCAGTAGGAAGGGAACCAGCTCATAGTCCACCACGCTGGCCAAGTGCGGGCGGACTGAGTATATCTTTTGAAAACTTGCTAGGTTCTCTCAGACATGCAAGTCTCCTCACGATGTTTTCCTTCACCGTTAAGACAAGTGACAATCATATTGGAAATTAGTCGCACATGAAAATATCAGAGTTGCGAGAACATACGGTGTTTGAACCCGCTTTAGTCGGTTTCCCAAGCGAGTGCTTTACCACTAGGCTATCACAAACAAGAAAACATAAAAGTAATTAAATATACACAATATGATGCCTTTACTTCAATCTAAACGTATATTAAATTTCATCCAAATCTAACCGTTTCAGCGTGGAGATGTAACAAACATACAAACATATTAACAAACTTCGATTTGATTTTCGATTTGATTTATAATAATAATAATAGTGTGATATTAGATGTTTTATTTTTATTTTTCAGCGTCCCTAGTAGTGCAAGGGTCGACGCCCATAGGGCAGATAGGCGCTGGTCTTCTCCCTACAGACTCGTTTACGGGTAAGCTTAGTTAAAAATATATATTGTTTAACATTATGTTTGTTTGTTTTTTTTTATATGCGTATGAAAAAAACTGAATGGGGTTATTTGTCACTAGCGGCATAGCCTCGCTTATAACATCAGCTATTCGCCAACGAAAGTTGCGTCATAATCGGTCCAGCCGTTTCGGAGATTAGCCGGAACAAACAGACAGATATACAGACAAACAAGCAGAGAAAAATTTTAAAAATTGTTTTTTTTTCTTATAAATACCGTATATTATTTCATGTGTATTTAGTAAAAAGCTGTTATTTTGACATTACAAACAGACACTTCAATTTTATTATCAGTAGATATACATATTAATACGTGAAGCAAAAACTTTGTACCCCTTTTTACGAAAATTGCGCGGACGGAGGAGTATGAAATTTCCCACACTTATAGTTTATATAGAGAAGGAGTGCAGAGTGCTAATATTTTTTAAAATTAAGTATAAAAATACATTAAATCAATAAAAAAACATTACACACACTACCATATATTTGACACACACACGTATATATACTCTTTTGTTTATTGTTAAAGTCTGTGGTCAAATCGAGATAGAACCTCAATATCGATCAAACTTAAGGAATTATAGTTGATTTTCAACCACATGGCGATCACTAGTATGTATAGATAGATGTCGAATATTCGTGGTCGGTAAGAAAGTGTGTTATTAGTAATATTTACATAACCCCAGGTACGAACTCCAACTCGTGTTCCTCGATCTCGGGGTCGCCGCCGCCCGCGGGCGAGGACGAGGAGGAGGGCGGCAAGCGCGGCGTGCTGCCGCGACACGCCACGCAGGTCATGCGCGCCTGGCTGTTCCAGCACCTCGTGGTGAGTGGGGGTCTGGGGATCCTCAGCGATGATCAGTCTATTCATTTATTTTAGTTACGTTTAATTTTTTTGAGCGGAACCCTAATTCTTTTTCTAAAATAAAAGTAGCATATGTTATTCCCTATATCATCAGCTATCTTTCAGTGAAAGTGCCGTCAAAATCAGTCCAGCCGTTTTAGAGATTATCCGGAACAAACAGTCAGACAGACAATAATTTTAAAAAAATGTGTTTTTCTTATAAGTACCGTATATTTTTATTTCATATGCATTTAGTAAAACGCTGTTATTTTGACATTACAAACAGACACTTCAATTTTATTTATCTGTATAGACTAGCGACTTACCCTTGCTTCGCTTGGATGCATCCCAAGGTACCTACGCAGATTTGGTTCTCAATTTCATGGCGGAAACGTAATTCTTTTTTTAAAATAAAAGTAGCCTAAGGTACTCCTTATAACATCAGTTATCTACCGGTGTAAGTCCCTTCAAAATTGGTTCAGCCGTTTTAGAGATTAGCCGGAACAAACACACAGAAAAAAATTAAGAATTGTTTTTTTATTATTATTATAATTCTCGTATATATTTTCATTTGCATTTAATAAAAACATTTTATAAAAGTGACGTTTGTATGTGTGTATGTTTGTTAATCTTTCAAACTAACGACTGGACGGATTTGAATGGAATTAAATGATATATTATGTTATAATGTCCTTATAAGGACTTTTAGAAAATCTGCTTGACAACTTCAATTCTAATAAAATAATAATGTTAGCCATATTGTTATAAATTCGTCAGGAAACTACACTGGACAAGTTCCTAAATTCTACCGAGATCGCAAAAAGAGAAGTATAGTGAAAAAATATATAGAAACAAAAATACCAATCGAATTGAGAACCTCCTCCTTTTTGAGGTCGGTTAAGAACTCAAAATTAAAAAAATATATGAAAATAACTATAATTGTTTATCTCTTTCCAGCATCCATACCCAACAGAAGAAGAAAAACGGTCTCTCGCAGCGCAAACCAGACTAACTCTATTACAAGTAAATAATTGGTTTATCAACGCGCGTCGTCGCATTCTTCAACCAATGCTGGACTGTCAGGATAAACCGGGTGGGTTACAATTACTTAATTTATCAACGGTTCAATTCTTTAATTGTTTTTTTTATAAGTATATATTTGTTTTACTTTTATCTCATGTATGTATGTATTCAGCCCTTTTTAACGTCCCACTGCTGGGCGTGGGCCTCCCTTCAATAAGAGGGGGATCAGGCCATAGTCCACCACGCTGGCCAAGTGCGGGTGGACTGAGCATGTCTTTCGAAAAACTTGCTAGGTTATCTCAGACATACAGGTTTCCACACCGATGTTTTCCTTCTCCGTAAGGCAAGTGTTAATCATGTTAGAAATGATTCGAACATGAAAATATCAGAGGTGCGAGACCCGGGATTTGAACCCGCTTCACTCGGTTTCCCAAGTGTCTGATATTATCAGTCTTTATACTATCCAAACAAACGTGAAATCGTTTTTTTTAAAAACGTTTAAATAAAAGTTAAAGACACTAAGTTCAAATTTTAAAGATATCAATAACTAATTTCTATTTCAGGTGGCAAGAAAAGTAAAAATGGCTCGTCTATAAGTAAGAGGTATTGGCCGGACGCGCTCACCAACCCACAGTTCACAGCAGGTATGAAATTATATAGTAAAATTGTAAAGATTAATATCGAATCGCAATTTTTATACCTTTTCTGAAAAAATCTGATGAAATTCGATCACCCTGGTATTGAAGTAGTAAACAAACAAATACAGTAACTTTCGTATTAATAATATTAGTATGTTTTGTGATCCTACTTGCTGTGCCAGCGGTCGCGGGTTCGAGTCCCACTGGGGGCATTCATTTGTGTGATGAGCACGAATGTTTGTACTCCAGTCATGAGTGTTTATATTTATAACATGTATGTATTTAAAGTTATATATGTGTAGTGTATCAACTATCTTTTATCCATAACACAGGCCTCGTAGCTTACCATGGAACTAGATGGTGCTGTGTTAATATCCCAACATATTTATTTGTATCTAAACATGCACTCCCGCAGGTCTCCTCTCATCGTCAGAAGATGAAGAGCAAGAGGGCGAGCAGTCCGCCGACGAGACGGAGCCCCGCGACGAGCACGGGGACTTCCCCGTGCAGCACTGAGGTGAGATGCTTACAGATGTATCGGTGTATGTATGTGCTTGTACTTCACGTGGGGATGAAACCAGGGCTAATAAAGTCTTCTAAATATTATGTTAATTTGCGAGAACTCGCCAATTTTAAGATTAGGTAAATTAATACATAAATTAAAGTCTTAAATTAAATATAAAATAAATATGTCAACTTAAACTACTTGATAAATGGCATAATTATTTTTCAAAATTGGTTGGAATCAGATTAGATTGTAAGAATAAGATTTCTAAACAAAATGTTCTAGTTATTTTTATAAATGAAAATGGAATGTTCTTTGGTATGCGCAAAATTGGTAAAGTTTCCCGAAAAATAGGGAATTTCAGGAGAAGCAGAGAGCATTAAGAGTAAAATACATATAAAATACGAATAATATGAATTTATCATGACATTTATTGCAAAAAAAAATTTGTGCAAAAATTTAAAAAAAATTCTATCTTTTTCCAGCACACTAAATTAGAGCAGGACAACATCATGACACATTCAAAACAAAAAGACAAAACTGTGTATACCATAGATATAAGTAGGTATAAAACCATGTATACGTAATCATTACCTCACTATTTTAAACTATATATATAGACGCTTTGTATGTCAGTTCGTTTACATGAAATGGATATTGTACAGATAAATAAAATAAAATGGCAATTTTAAAAATAATAAAAAGTGATATACGATTGCACTATCCATTTTGCGTAAAAAGTCATGATTTCGCGAACTCGTCTGCGTTTTTTTGTGTGTTTTTTTAATTAAAATATTAATTTTGTTTCTCATTATGAAAAAATCGCAGTTGAGGAAATTTTCTCGGAATTGAACGTTTTTTAACTGTTCCCAAGTTTAATAGTATGGCAACATTTTATTTCAAATTGTAAAAAATGAATTAAGTTAACACGTTGGCCATAGTTTCAAAAATAATAGTTTTAAAATATTATTGTCTTTGAAATTTTTTTTTATGAAATGTTAAAAAAAGTATTTTTTTAATAAAATTTATTCATTTACAAAATATAAATAAAAAATTAAGTGTTGCCATATCATACAAAATCTCACTTGTTTAATTCAGCTTTAAATTATTTTTACTGCTTAATGATCGTGCGTCGTCAATTTTTTAACCGGTTGTGAATAAAGTAGTTTTGTTTCCTACCTTCACCGACTGAAAAAAGAAATAGCAATAAGAATATTTTTACCACGAAAAAAAAAACTATAGACAATACCGTCCATAGACAGAAATTGTATTTATTTGTATAAATAATTTTAATATACTCTATTAATTTTATTTTCTTTACAGACGCCATATTAGTTTAGATGTAATTTAAGCGCGAACATATAGAATGTATATGTTTTTTGGCGGGAAAGGATGTAAATACGAAAAGTACAGATAAAAAATGGGATGTTATTTTAAAAATGTTAGTTTATTCTTTGATATATCTGTTTCTCAATGTCAATTTGTTAATGTTAGAAAGAGATAACGCTAGTCGTTTTTTTTATAAATTATTGATGAAGGTTAGATAATTCGATATTAAATTTGAAAATAATATGAGAAATTGAGTTGTCTTGCAAATATTTAATAACTTTTTTGTATACAATTATTTAAAAAAGAAAATATATACATTCTATATGTTGATTTTAGTATATAAATGGATTATACGATAAAATATACGATTCAAGTAAATAATGTATACTCAAAAATACCTATTTGATTCAAAACTGTATACGCGGAAATATCGAGGAAAATTTTAAATTTTAGGTGTAAATTTTAATATATTGGGACATGAAAATATTATGGCAGTACTCGATTTATTTAAGTGATGAAGTCGACTGGCAAAATGTGCTAACCTAATGTGGCAAATGTGTAACACAATATGTCTTACTTGAAAGTCACAGGTTTAAATATACATACATATTTGTGTTGGTAATATATTTCATTTTTTTGTGTATGTAACATGAACTCTAAATGAGTAACTGAGAGATTCGATTGAGTAACTTTTAAAAAAAAATAGTGTATCTAATATTGATAAAATAAAAATCTCAGTGTCCTTTGGATAGGATAAAAAGGAGGTAAGACAAGATTTTGATTTTCTGTTTTTTTTTTTAATTTTGTGGTTTGGCACATTTTGGGTTGATTGGAGCTTGATTCGTAAAAGTTATAAAAATCAAAACGTGATTAATGTAAGAAAACACATTTCTCATAGGTTATATGGAGTTTACTCGGTAAGTGCTATCGATGCGAAATAAAGGTGGCAAGCAATAAAATTTCGATTTAAAATATCAAAAATTGTACGAATTAATTCATTTATTTGCAAAAATGTGTGTTTATTTTATGAGAAAATGTTTTCTTCTGTTATTAATGCACTTTCGGACTAAATTTCAAATAAATTACAATATCTTCCAATATACATAATTAAATTTTAAAGTTATAAAATGCACTAAATGTTAATGAAAAATTAAGTTGGTCGTGTAAACGTGTTTCAATCTGTAAATTTAGCAAGACTTGTGTTCGCCCATGATTTTCTTCGGTAAATAAAAACGTACGTTATTCACTAATTATCTTCATATAAAATAAAATAAAAAAATATATAGAACGTCTTTATTATAGTTTTCGATTTAAAATATAGTAATTTTTAGATGAAGCAACAAAATATCTATAACATAACATATTGTCGAATTGTTAGTTTTCTTTAATACAGTGATACATTTTTTTTTATTATAAGATCGCATTTATATATTCTGTAGTAAAAATATTGCTCTTTTTTTTCTAAGCAAAATTATTTAAAAAAAATGTATAAAATTTTAAAAGATTTTGACATTTTTTTTTAGTTTAGTATTTTTTCTTTTTCTATCGCACCTCAGACTAATTCGAGATGTATATAGATAAAAAATAGTGGATTGAACCAAATTTCCACGACCATATAGTATACGCCAACCACCTAGTGATAAAAGCTTTGTATCTTCCATTATTTTGTATTGAGAGAGAACTGTATTAATATATAGACTAAGTGATATTTTTGTTAGAGTTTTACTTAGATTTCTCGGCCTATTCTGTGAACGTAGCCTAAATTAGTAGTAGTGTACCGACATTTTCATTAATCTATCAATCTTTCAATCAATCAATTAAATTAATTGGTTGATCAACTATTAGACTTGTCAATGGTTTAATTGGATTAATCTATAATAAACAAATTATAATTTATATACACAACTTGAAAATATTTTTTAAGTATTAATGTAAGTATTTTAAGTTTACGTTTATATATTATTTTAGCGCATTATTTCATTTATCTGTGATTAGTTAATATTTCTATTTTATTCCTAAGTTAAAAATGTGAATATAATAAAAATGTCGGTATTATCGTCTGTTATACGAAAAAAAACGGATATACGTAATGATGTGAATTATAAGGTTTTTTATTGTAATTTTTAATTCTGTATCTATATCGTAGGATAGAAAGTATTTTTAAACTGTTTTAAACGGCCATCTTGAAATTAAATAACATCTTGATTTTAAAGATCCCATATAATATACAAGATCATATGTCAAAAAATGTCACAGTTTCTTGGAGAAAAGAAAAAAAAATGAAACATATTTATCTATAAATATTTTTTTTTGTATTTAAATTTAAAAATTATCTAGTGGCGACGTAACATCTAATAAAATAATATAATACATTTAATTTCAAGATGGTGATTTACCATAAAGTATAGACTGCGTATTGAAATTATACAGCAAAATTCTCAATGCTGTCAATTTTTATATGAAAAAAAAACTATACACAGTCTATAATCTATGGTTGAAATGTCCAGCTGTAGTATACCATAGAGTATAAAAAACGCTTTTAGCAAGTAAAATTTCGAGTTGATCATTGTAAGGCATAATATTTTACTAGTCAATAAAACCAGTCTTGCTGATGATTTTTTTTGTATTTTTATGAAAGATTGTGTAATTTGGCGGAGTTTTTTACTTAAAATGTCTCTTAGTACATTTTTTTAAATAATCTAACTTCGTATGGACATTATGTGACATAAGGGAATAAAAAAGGTCTATGGTACGGTAAGGTACTCTATGACCCATAGACTATCTCTATACAGCATATGACAATTCATTGATACGTTACTGCGTTATAGAAGGACAAACAAACATTCACTCTCCAAAAAATAATAGTAAGATTTTAATAATGTTTTATCTGCGTTACGGTATTTTTTGTATAAATTCTCAATGCGTTTAAAGTGAAAAACTTCGTCATATTAACAATATGTACAGTTTGCTGCAAAATATAATCTTTATCGCATGCCAAGAGTTTGTTTATTTTAACCTTTTAACATGTTCGATTCTTACGTGAATCAAATAATAGTCATTTACGCAGATATTAAGGCTGTAAAGCAGGAAATAGCATAAATTATTGCAATGTCAATTTTTCTACAAATGAAAATTTGAAGGGAGACCTGTGTCCAGAAGTGGGACGTTCAAAAGGGCTGAATACAAAAATTCATATTAATATATATTTTATATGTCAGTAGGTGGCATTATATGTATACATCGATTTGTTATTAGTTTTTGTAAAATTAATAAAAAAGAAAAAATAGACAGCAAAAAGAAACATAATGATTTAATATAATAATTACTTGATAATTAAAATACAATAATACTCTCGTTAAAGCCTAATTTTTACGGTTGTTCAAAAAATCAAATAAATTTATAATGCATATTCACAGATGGCGCTTTAAAACTGAAAGTTATTAAAGTTCAGGATGAATTTTTCAATATTTATCATATTTTCGTTTTCACATATGTATAAAATAAATTAGTTTGACAGTTTGCGAATAATAAATATGCGTATTTTTTTGTAGAATAGCTTACATCGTTATATAATGTAAAAAATATCCAAGTCCAAAAAACTTAAATTTAGTTTATATTTTTTTTAATATCTTACCGTTACGGATACTTTAAACGCTCGCCATTTTGCGTGCTTGGTGTG